ACGGTATGTTATAATATGATATTATGCACTATGCTATGACATGTTATGCTCTGGTGTGTACTGATACGGTATGGGCTGCTATGGCATGGGTTGTTATGCAATGATGTGTGTTGTGATGCTCTGTTCTGTATGCTCCGCTCTGCCGTAGCATGCTTTGCTACGCAAGTATGCTTAGTCTTCAGGTGCTGTGTTATGCTCAGATATGTCGGGTTCTGTCGTGCTCGTCGACGGCGCGATGCGGGGGTCTCGGGGCACTCTCGGTGGACCCTGGGGGCGTCCGCGGTATGCAGGAGTGGGCGGGTTGGCGCGAGGCGGGAGTCTCGGGGGACGCTCGGTGGACCTCGGGATCTGGCGGCGGCGGCATGCAGAACGCGCGGGTCGGCGCGAGGCGGGAGCCTCGGGGGACACTCGGCGCACCTGGGGATCTGGCGGCCGCGGTATTCAGAGTGGGCGGGTCGGGAAGCCCGCCCTGGAAATCCTCCAAACCCTGGCCTGCCGGAATGGGAACGAACTGCGAACCCTAAATCTGGAGCATGCGCGGGCGCCCCGCGACCACTTAGCACTTGGTTTTGACAAGGGCGGCGGGGGTGCCACCATGCTTCTCGATGCGCGCAGGCCAGCCATCCCTGTCAAATTACAATGCACAGTGCACTTTGCCTCCACATCTGGACAATGTACGGGCGCCGCGCGACCACTGCGAATGGTTTTTGGCCGGGATGCTCGGATGCTACTGGTTTGTTGGGAGGGTGGGCGTGAGTGACCGAGACGGCTTGTGCCCTGTGGGCAGGACGTGTTTTCATCAGTGCTCCTTATTGAAAGACACCCCCTCCCCCACCCGACTGTGGGCCAACCAGAGACATGCCACCCCCCCCGCCCACCATCCCAATCAAAAAATAATACAGAACGCAATTTGCCTCCAAACCTGGAGCATGCGCGGACGCCCCGAAACCATTTTGCATTGGTTTTTGACAAGGACGGCGGGGCTACCGCGCGCAGGGGCCAATTCATTATTATCAAAAATATTACAGAATGTACTTGGACCTTACATCTGAACATTGCGCGGGAAACCCGCGACCACTTTGCATACGTTTTTGTTCAGGGACGGCGGGGGTGCTGGCATATTGCTTAAACGTGGAGCACGTGCCGCACCTGTCCCGCCTGGCTCGCTTGGGCCTTCAGGGTGCCTGGTGCACCTGGAACCCGTGGTGATGACCTGCGTGGCGCTCCCAAGCAATATGCCGAGACTCCCTCGGGTGTTACTTCTGTGATGGGAAGGCGAAGGCGGGTGGGAATGAGCGAGACGGCTTGCGGGCGAAGGGGGGCCCATACCCTCCAACGACCCCCTCCCCTGGACCTGGATGGGAGGGCCCGCGACTCATTGGAGCATCCAAGAAGGACTCTGCGAGAATGCGCAAATCATGGATTGTCCACAAAAAGATGTTGAGACAATTTTCGCGTCACTGAGGGGCTAAGGACCACCCCTTCTCCCCTTCCTTCATCGAGCTTCTCCATGACGGCCCCAAGATAACCCCAAAACTTCCAATAGTCCCCAAGAGGCGCCCAGGTGGCCCCAAGAACCCCTGGAGAAGTCCCCAATAGGCTCCCGAGAAACCACCAAGAGGCCCCAAGAAACGCCACGAGGCAGCCAAGACGCGTCAAGAGGCCCCTGGGACCGCCAAGAGACCCCAAGAGGGTCCAAAAAGCTTTTAAGAGACGTCCGACGAGACTCCAAGAGGCATCCAGGATGCCTCTGGCCCCCTCCTCCTCCTCCTCCTCCTCCTCCTCCTCCTTTTCCTCTTTCTTCTCCTCCTCTTCCTCACCCGCTCATTCCTCTTCCTCCTCCTCCTGCTCCTCCTGCTGCTCCTCATCTTCCTCCTCCTCCTCCTCCTCCTCCCCCTCCTGCTCGTCCGATTCCTCCGCCATCCTCCGCCCGTTGGGGTATGACGGCCTCCCGAACCCGCTGTTGCACTGCACGCTCCTGCGCGTCCCTGCACAGGGGCAACCCGCCTGGGCCTCGTCTCTGGATGGGCCGGCGGGGCCCCCCCGGAGCGGCCAAGATCTCTCGGAGGTCCGCGCGGCCTCCTCGCATCGGCGCTGGCGACCCCCCTGCGTGGTGCGCCACGGGGCCCCCAGGCGCAAAGCCCAGAACCCCCCGCGCGGGACCTCCCTTCCTCGTGCACTGTTTGGCTCTGTACGTGTCTTGTCGTGCCATCGCTCGGAGGTCCATTCCTCGCGGAGCACACTTCTCGGCCTCGTGCAGGCAGCTTTTCTCGCGAGGTGTTCCATCATTCTCCTCCAGGACCCTCGCGGCAAAACAAAAAGCACAAGCGCCCGAGCGATGCCGAGGGAAGGGGCGAGCAAGGGGATGCCCGCGCGCGGAACATGAGCTGGCCTGCTCGCGCTCGCCAGCCCAATCCTGCATGATCTCCCTCGCGTCCTCCACCAGGCGTCGCCCCAGGCTGCTCACCTTGGGTGCGAGTTAACGGGGGGCGATATCATCGCCCGATCTATTCAACGGGGCGATAGCTATTGTCGCGAAGTCAAGGGGGGGGGGGCGACATGATCGCCCCATTGATGAAGGGCACCTTCCTTCCTCCCCATATACTCGATGGGGGAGGAAGAAAGGTGCCCTCCTCGGGTCCTGAAGTCCCCCTGTCTGGGCCCCGAAAGCGCCCCAGGGCCCGTTGCGGCAGCCTTCGCTGCTCCCTCCCCCTTTGTGGACCCCCCCTTCGCGCGCCCCTCCGTATCACCCAGCCGCGCGGCTCGCTCGGCTCGCCCCCCGGGCCCGCCCAGCCTCACCGGTTCAGGGATGGGCCCCCGAGGGATGTCCGGAGGCAGCTCTTGGGACGACTGAGGGCCAGCGGCCCCAATTCATGCACGACGGGTTTGCCGAGCTCGGCGTTGGATAAGCTTCCCTTTCGGAAACCACCCTTTAGTGAAAACGGCCTGGGACCGAAGCCGACGGACCTGGACCCGCAGAAATGACGGCCGCGACGCCCTCTCGCGAACCGAAAACGGCCAATTCGCTAATCGACGTATCAGGGTAGGAGGTCTGTCCACCCCCGACCAGCTTGAGCCCAGGATGAAGCCAAGCCGGAGCGAACGGCACTGAGCGGGCTCGTGCCGCATTTGGTCGGTGTCCGACAACGGATCTACCAGCGCCGAGGCTGGATATTCCGCCTCCCAGGAGCGACATCCTATAATGTGAGATGGTTCCATACAAATCGAAGGCCTCAAGCACTGATGTTTCAACTTGGGATTCATTCCCGATCCCTTAGGGACCCATCCCTCAAGACCCAATCTTTGAGCCGCCAACAGCCGTCGCTGTCGGGCGTCCAGTCTGCCGGGGGCAGCGTCGGCTTCTCCACGAGGCGCTCTAGCCAGAAACCCGCGCGGTGCGAGGGCGGCTCGAACTCGCGCCTCGCCACCCCGTCCGAGCTGACGCGGATGGCGGGGACCACCTCTGGCCGGCAAAGGTCAGGGTTGCTCGGGAGAGGTGGAATCCGCTTGGATTCCAAGCAGGTAAGAGGGCCTTGGCGCACAAACTGGATCTGTCCCAACTGGACTACGCGTCGCCAAAGCGTAGGTGAAGTCCAAGAGGAGGTTTAGTCCATTGGAGGCCCAACCAACCCAGACCCCCGACGTCATGTTTTTCACGTGGGCCCACGGATGTCGGACGGAGCGCGTATCAGGGGCGCTTGCTTTGGTAACATTTGGCGGCGCGTTTGAAACGGGGGGGGGGGCTCCTCCTCCGAACAATCGGCACCGTCGAACAGAACCACGGGGACTCTCCTCCCCTCTCCCCCCCTCTCCGAACGCCCCCTCCCCTCCCCCCCCGCGCCGGCGCCAGCGCGCTGGCGCCGCGACCGCGGGGGCGGCGACTGGCAGCGCCGACGGCGGCAACGCAACGACGATGGCCAGGACGAAGAAGACGACGACAACAAGGTTCCTTGTAATCCTCTGCCCTCGGCCTTGAGGGTCGGATTATTGACCGGCCCGGACCACAAACATAAATATTCTTCGCGTTGCATCGCGTGCCTTCCGCGCTTCCCGTCGTCGTCGTCGTCGTCATCGTCGCCGACGCCGTCGTCGTTGTCGTCGTCGTCGTCGACGTCGTTAACGTCGTTGACGTCGTCGTCGTCGTCGTCGTCCTCGTCGTCGTCATGCTCGAAGTCATCGTGGGAATGGTCGTCGTCATCGTCGCCGTCGTCGCCGTCGCTGTCGCAGTCGTCATGGTCGAAGTCGTCGTGGTCGTCGTCGCCGTCGTCGACGCCGTCGTCGTCGACTTCGCCGTGGTTGTCGTCGTCGTCACCGTAGTCGCGGTCGTAGTCGTTGTCGTCGCCGTCGTCATTGTGGTCGTCGCCGTCGACGACGCCGTTGTCGTCGTTAACGTCGTCCACGTCGCCGTCGTCGTCGCCGTCGACGCCGTCGTCGCCGTCGACGTCATCGGCGTGTTCGTCGTCGTCGTTGTCGCCGACGTCGTCGTCGTGCTCGTCGTCGTCGTTGTCGTCGTCGTCGCCATGGTGGTCGTTGGCGCCGTCGTCGTCGTCGACGCCGTCGTCGCCGTCGTCGTCGCCGTCGTCGTCGTCGCCGCCGTCGTCGCCGTCGCCGTGGTCGTCGCCATCGTTGTCGTCGTCGTCATGGTCGTCGTTCTAGTCGTCGTCGTCGTCGTGGCCTCCGTCGTCGTCGTCGTCGCCGTCGTCGTGCTTTTCGTCGTCGTCGACGTGGTCGTCGTCGTCGTTGGCGTCGCCGTCGTCGTCGTCGTCGTTGTCGCCCTCGTTTCTGTTGTCGTCGTCTCCGTCGTCGTCGTCGTCGTCGTCGTCGTCGTCGTCGCCGTGCTCGTCGTCGCCGTCGTCGTCGTCGCCGTCGTTGTTGCAGTCGTCGTCGCTGTCGTCGTCGTCGTTGTCGCCGTCATCGCCGTCGTCGTCGCAGTCGTCGTCGTCGCCGTCGTCGCAGTCGTCGTCGTCGTCGTCGTCGTCGTTGTCTTCGTCGTCCTCGTCGTCGCCGTCCACGTCGTCGTCGCCGTCGTCGTCTTCGTCTTCATCGTCGTCGTCGCCGTCGTGGTCGTCGTGCGTGTCGTCGTCGTCGCCGTCGTCTTTGTCGTCGTCGCCATCGTTGTCTTCGTCGTCGCCGTCGTCGCCGTCGACGCCGTCGTCGTCGCCGTCGTCGTCTTCGTGCTCGTCGTCGTCGTCGTCGTCGCCGTCATCGCTGTCGTCGTCGTCGACGCCGGCGCTGCCGCCGCTGCCAGCCAGCGCCGGCGCTGGCCCTGAGGAAGGGGGGAGGTTCGAACCCTTTTCTCCCCTCGAATCGTCGTCTCGTCGACGCTCCCCGCCGCAGGGGGAGGCTAGGTTCGGGACACCACCCCTCCCCCAAGCGCCCACAGAACGCGCTCCTTCAAATGTCTGGAGCCCTTCCTGGGGACGGGCTTCTCCTCCTGCGGCGGCGTCGCTTTTCTTGAGGCGGGCCGAGGGCCCGCAAAGGGGCCCGAAGAGGCCGAAAGATGCAGAACAACTTCCGTCGTGCTTCCCTTGGCTTGAAGTCGGGCGTGTCCCCCTACAGGGAGACTTACGACGAAAAATGAAAATGCCTCCAAAATGCCTCAAAAAGATAACAAAATACTCAAAACATAGTCCCCAGACTATTTCTGGACTATTGTTGAATATTTTTGGTGTATTTTTTGTTGTTCGTCGACAATGCCCCTATAGGGGGGCAGGCCCGACTTAACCTTGGCTCCAGCGGGGCTCTCTCTCCAACCAGGCCGCGCGTGGCCCAGGGCTGCGCACAGCCTGCCACCGCCCGGACGCCCATTCCCCGTGCAAGTTTCGGCTTCGTGCGTCGATTTTTCTAGAGGCCTCCTAGGTATAGGGTGTCGAAGGATGGCGTCGCATCGCCAATGCATCGCCGCCGACGTATCGGCGATGCATCGGCGATGCATCGGCGATGTCGCCGGCGTGGGGAAACACGGTCTCCACACCGAGCCGCATCGCCGATGCGGCGCGACCCTCGGACCCCATCGCCTCCGACCCCATCCGGGAGGAGGCCTAGATCTCCGCACGGAGCTCCGCGACGCTTCTCGACGGTCCCCCGCACCGAGGAGAGAAAGCGCACACGTCCGAGCGGTGCCGAGGGCACCAGGCAGGCGCCCAAAGGCGGCCGGGCTGGCCTCGGCTTATGTTGTTCCCATCGTACTTTTTAAGTCGGGCGTGTCCCCCTACAGGGGGATCTTCGACGAAAAATAAAAAAATACCCCCAACATACCCCAAACAGGTCAAACAAAATTCAAAAATGAGTCCCCGGACTACTTTTTGACTATTTTTAGATTATTTTTGGGGTGCTTGTTACTTTTCGCCGAAGATCCCCCTGTAGGGGGACAGGCCCGACTTAATCGTACTTAGGGACAGGGCTGAAGCTAACCGGTGTTTTTGGTTTTCGTGCTGTTTGTTTCCGTTGTCCCTCGTTTTGTCTTCAATCCACCTCGACCGCAAAGCGTAGTCGAAACGGAAACGGCCCACGGAATCGCCAAGAAACACCGTTTAGGTCCAGCCCTGCTCAAAGACCACATCCCCGAAATAACTCCGAGCACCCAGAAAAGTGTCGAAAGAGTGTCGAAGCAGTGTCGGACGAGTGTCTCCCAGGGCCCGACACGTGAATCACCTAGAGTTTGTTGTATTTTGTTTCTGGTGCTCGAAATTATTTTTGGTGATCGGCGCTACAAGTAGGTTGGAACATCATAAGCCTCGGCAGCCTCCATCTTAATATACAAGCTGGTAAGCTCGGGCCGAGCCTCTTACAGTCGGCCTGCACTGGTCTCCGGCGAGTCCGCTTGGAGGCTCCTGTGGCTTGGTAAGGTAAGGTGGAGGCTGATCAAGGCTAAAATCGTAAGCCTCGGCAGCTCCATCAAAGGCTTGACTTGCCGTCGCTCGGACGTCCATTTCCCGTGCATGTTCCGGTTTCGTGCGTGTTTTTTTTGCTCGATGGTCCAGGATGGTCCTCGATGATTCCCGCCGAGAAAAAAATGCACACGTCCGAGCGATGCCAAGTTGAGAAGGCAGGCTGGAACCTCAGAAGCCTCGGCAGCCTCCCGGGGGGCGGGGCGCCCCGCGGCCGTGCGGAGGTGCCGCAGGGCCCCGGGCTGCGGCGGCCGGACGCGGCTGCGGCACCTGCTAATTATCGTGAGAGGCGGCCCCCCGGGCGTGGGCCTCGGCTCGCCGGCGCTCGGACCTCCCTGCCACGCGTGCACTGTTCGGTGTCGTGCCTTTGTTTTTCGCCCCCCCCCTGACGAACGAACAACACACACCCATACCCATAGGGAGGTCGTTGGGAGGAGGACTGGCTATGGGTATGGGTGCGGGTTGTCGGACCCTGGGGAACGCTCCCGTTCGAGCGGGGACCCCCATCCGACAACACGCACCCATAGCCCTCTCCGATCCCCCTATGGGTATGGGTGTGTGTTGCTGGTTCGTCACCCCCCGCTGCTCCTGGTCGAACTCTTCGACGCCGGAACGTCCCTTTCTGCCTCTCGGTCGTCCCCCCCCCCCCCCTCTTTGCCCGCCGGCCAGCTCGCTAGATCGACACCCTTTTCTGGCTGCTCGCTGGAGCGGGGTGCGCCGCCTCGCCGCTGACGGAAACATGTTTTCTCGCGAGATGATCCTAGAAGAAGACATAGCCATATAAACATTAACGTTTGGCGCTCCGCGCGGTTTTCGTAAATCCGCACTGGACCACCCTCCCTGGCGCGCGGAGCGCGCCAAGAGCGGCGCCGGAGGCCCCAGCGCGGATCCGAGAAATCCGCGCGGGACTCCGAGTTTGTACGTTTATGTCATTGTTCGTTTCCCTACGGATGCCCATTCCTCGTTCATTCTTCGGTATCGTGCGAATTTTGCTCGCGAGATGAAAACCCCTCAGATCCGATGCCGTGATTTTTTTACGACGGGCTCCCCGGAAGTCTCGACCCATTCACTAGGACTGGTTTCTCATCCTGAGTCGTTCTTTGACGGTCCTGGGGCCCCCATGGGCCCCTGGAGGCCGAAAATATTGAAAAACCTCCGTCGTGATTTTTTCAATGCGTGGGATCTCTGGGACCCGGTGTGCTCCTCGATCGTCCCCGCCGAGGCACACGTCCGAGCGGTGCCAAAAGTCCGATCCGGGCGCGGACCGCTCCACCCTGCACGGGCGGGGGCTCTTCCAGCGCCAGACCGCTCCATCCCGGCCGCCTCTGGGCCGCTGGCGGCATGCAACCCTGAGCGCCCGCGGCGGGGGTCTCGCTGCCGCGTCGGCACGGCACGAGCCTACCCAAAATTGTATGTACACATCCTTTGTTTTTTTGTTTTTTCTGTTTTTTTTGTTTTTCCTTTTCTCCTTTTCCCCCTCAAAGACTCCACACGCCCCTCGACCTCCACGTCCTCGTCCTGCCTGTGCGGCGGCTGCACGCCGGGGGGCCCCTCCCGTGTGCCAGCCGGAGGCCGGCAAACCACCCCTGCCACCCTGTAGGCCAGGCGTGGGAGCAACGCGCCGTCCAACACTCTTAGGGGAACAGAAAGTGGCATAAACATAAAAACTGGCGCGCGGAGCGCGCCAGGGGCAGCGCCGGAGGCGCCGCCGGGGGGCCCCAACGCCGATCCGAGAAATCCGCGCGGACCTCCGAGTCTTTATGTTTACGTCACCTTTTGTTCCCCTCTCTCCCTCTCTCTGCCTTCTTCACGCTCTGCGGCGCTCCTCGCGTCGGGTCGCTCCGTGACGGACCCGCGGTCCGAGCTCTCTGGGCGAAGACGTCCGTGGCGATGCCTTCGCGGCGCTCGACTTGAAAGATGGTGCCGGCCCGTCGGGAACCCGCGCAAAACATCAGTGTCGAGACCCCTCCCGGATGCCAGCCTGACCATGCCTGCGGGCTGCGAGTCACCCGATGCCCCCCAGACGAGCAAGTGACCACCTCTGGGCTCCTCCTCCTCCTCCTCCTCCTCCTCCTCCTCCTCCTCTTCCCTCCCTTCCTCCTCCTCCTCCTCCTCCTCCTCCTCCTCCTCCTCCTCCTCCTCCCTCCCTCCTCCTCCTCCTCCTCCTCCCTCCTCCCTCCTCCTCCTCCTCCTACTCCCCCTCCTAGTCTTCCTCCTCCTCCTCCTCCTCCTCCTCCTCCTCCTCCTCCTCTGAGTAAGTGAGTGGGAGAGGAACGCATCCATATCGGTACCCCCGCAGACCCTCTCCCGTGCACCTTGCGCGCCAAGACTTCCAGCGCGGATCGGAGGTGTCAAGGTGTGAGATCGACATGGGACGGAGAGCAGCCCACCGGTAAAGCGGTTTCGATTTCGTGTTCGTGTCGCGCGTGCGGGCGAGGCGAAGCGGCGGGCGGGCGAGAGAAATGAATCCTCCTTTTGCTAGGGCGCGGCGAGGGCAAGTCCGCCCCCCCCGCCGCGTGGCGGGCGGGTGCCGGGGGTGTCCCGCCGAGGTGGAGATCGATAGTGAGATCAATCGTAAGATATTGATATTGGGGGGAAACCCATAGTGATATTGATAGTGGGACTTGCATCCGCAATAAGATCGACAGTGAGAACGATAGTGAGATCGATCGTTTGATGGATAATGAGGTGAGATTGATTGTGCGATCGATGATGATATCGATCGTGAGATCGATAATGCGATCGATTAAGCGAGACGTTGGTTCCTGCTCTCCCGAACCTCCTTCTCACCCGAAGGGTTGTCGTATAGGCATGGATCACCCCAGGGCCAAACGCATCGGCGAGGTCGTACCCATGACCGTACGCCCATACCCCCGCTGAGGCCCGAGGCGGCAATGCCGTGGATTCGGATCACTTCCTTCTCTACGCGCCACCTCCAGTTCGCGCGCCATGTGCCCCGTGTAGTGGAACCGGGGCTCTGGAAACAGGTCCAGGGGCATGAAGTCCCGCCCGAGGGCAAATCCAGGCGGCCCCGGTTCCGCGCCCGCGGACACGGGGGGCTGCGCATCCTCGCTGCCCGACGACGAGGACGCGTCCTCGGAGCTGTATTCCTCTGATGGGAGCGCAAACGGCACGTTTCCTGGAAGCTTTCGGAAGGAGACGGTCATCTGAGGTCAGTTCGAAAAATCTCGGAGACAGTTGAAACAGGAAGTGTAGAAGATTCCAGGAAGCTCTTCGGAGGGGCAAAGGGAGAGAGAGGAGGGATGAAGAGGACGGATTGTTACATTTGTGCCGGAAGGCGGTTTCATAAAACTGTGTCCTCTGCGATCGCTTTGCTTGCGGCTGAGGTGTCGGCTGATCTCGAAGATGTCTGAAAATGTGCGTCGGTTTCGACGGGAGGAGGCGATACCAAGGAAGGACGATGGTAACGAGCAGGAGGGTGACGAAGTGGGAGGGAGGAGGGACGAGGGCGGCCTGGCTTGCAGTGGCGCTCGGCTGTCAAGGCGTGAACACGAAATGCGTCGCAATCTGCAGAGGGAGGGGAATGGAAGAGGAAGAGGCGGCCGGACGCCAAATTTCTGGTCGTGGTGGCCATGGTCTTGGTCGGCGACGACGACGGCCAGCACCACCACCACAGTGACGACCACGTCGCGGGGCGGAGCGAATGAGGGAACGGGGGGATGCAGCGACGGGGCCATGAGATCCCCAGACCTCCGACGAATCGACCTCTTCGAGTCGCTGGCCCCCAGGAGCTCTCGATCCCTTCTCCAGGACCTAGTCGCTCTGACGGCACACGGGCCTGGAGACAGCCCCCGTGAGCCGAAGAGAAGCACACCGCCGGCGCCACTTGGTCCGAGCCGCCGGGGGTTCTGGGTGCCACCCCCCGCTCTGCCCCTGTCGCTGCACCGTGGCGTCGCACCTCGGGCGACGCCCTCTCCCCCGCCCCGAGCCCAGGAGGTGCGAGGCGCGGCCGCAGAGCACGCGGCCCGCTTCCGGAACGCCGAGTCCGCACACGCAGGCGTCTCTCGGGGGCCCAGCCGCCTCCTGCAGCGGGCACCCTCGGGCCGCTCGGCTCCTGCTGGAGGGGAGGCAGGGCACCTCTCCTCGGCAACCCCGCGGGCCGAGGCCGCTCCCGGAGAGCGCCCCGCGCGCGGCCTCCGAGGGCCCGCCCGCCGCGCGGGCCTCGAGCCTGGGTCGGACTGGGCCGCTGCCTCGAGGCCTGTGGGCGGGGCCGGTGCGCGGGGGCGGGAGAGGGGCCGCGGCCGCCAGAGGCGCGCGCCCCTCGCCGCTCGAAGGCCCGTCGTGCTCGCCGTGGTCCTGGTCGTCGTCGTCGGGGTCGTCGTGGCCGTGGGCGTCGCTGCTCTGGCGCGGCGGCCGTGCGCGTCATCGCTCGGTCGAGGGGCTGGCGATCGACGGCACGGGATTTGGCCGTGTGGTCCGCAGCCCGCCTCCTGCTTCTGCTGCTCCGACGACGGGGCGACCTGTTGCATCGCGTCACCATTTTGTTTCTCCTCCGCCTCCAGTTCCTCCATTGAGCGGGCTTTGCAGGCCATGGCCCGCCCAATGCTTGCGCCCGGGCAAGGGGTCAGCGACAGTCGAGGGCCGCTCTGCGGACGGGGGTGGGCGTGAAGGGCGAGGCGGGAGGGGAGGATGGGATGGGGCAAGGGGATGAAGCGGCAACGATGGGGGTGGACTGGCATAGAGGGGGATGCGTCGGCCTGGAATCGGCGATACATCGCCGATGGATCGGCGATAGGCCTCTGATGGTGAGTCCGCACCTTCCTGGGCTGGTTGGGGCTGCCGGGCCCCTATCGGCGATCCATGGGCGGTGGGGGGTCGAGGCATCCCCCCCGTAATGCCTATTCCCCCCTTTTCACTGCCTCTGATTCGCACTGACCCCTCCTCCTCCTCCTCCTCCCTCCTCCTCCTCCTCCTCCTCCTCCTCCTCCTCCTCCTCCTCCTCCTCCCTCCTCCTCCTCCTCCTCCTCCTCCTCCTCCTCCTCCTCCTCCTCCTCCTCCTCCTCCTCCTCCTCCTCCTCCTCCTCCTCCTCCCCTATGCCCATCCCCCCCCATCCTTGCCCCTGAGGGGACGGGGGAGGCGGGATGGATGGTGAAGGAGGGGCAATTTCTCAACATCAGCTGTGGCGCTGCCACCATACACCACTAGAAGTGGGCGAGGTTTCTAAAGGGTGACCAGATGCAGGTCCAGAGCCCCTGCGCTGAGCGCTAAGGGGAGGACCTCAGGAGGAGAAGCAGACGCCGAGGAGAAACTCTGGCCGCTCCCATGAAGTCGACAAGAACTAAGCAGGCCCAGGTTCCGAGCCGTCTGGCTGCGCTGCTGACCCAGCTGTCTCCTGGAAGCGCCAGGAGGAGGTGACTGCGCGCGGCAGGGCGTCTTCTGGAATCTCATCGTCTGGGCAGCGGCGGGGCCTACATGGGCTGGTCAGCTCCTCGAAACTGAAGTCAGGCCCTGGTTCAACCCGGCCGCTGTTGTAGTGGCCTCCTAGATGGGGTCAGAGCCGATGGGGTCGGAGGATCGCGCCGCATCGCCAATACATCGGCGATGCATCGGCGATGCATCGGTGATGCACCGGCGATACATCGTCGACGTCGGCGATGCATCGGCGACGTCGACGTGAAGCAATTCGGGCTGCACATCGAGCCGCATCGGCGATGCATCGGCGATACGGCGCGATCCTCCGACCCCATCTACTCGGACCCCATCTTGGAGGCCTAGATGTTGACAATGCAACTGCTGCGTTTTGGAAGCGAGCCTCGGCACCATCGCTTCCAGCAGTGCCGCCTTCCATGGCGAACCCCCTAATTAAGCTGACCACCCGTGGTGCGATGTTGCTGCACCCGCTGCAGCGTAGGACATCATGGCGATCACTATCCCGAGAAAAACAAGTGCGCGCCCTAGCGCTGCAAGGGCAAGACGGCCGATGCCCCTGATCCCGACTCCCAGGGGGAATGAAAGGTGGGGATCGCAAAGGGTAGGGTAGAGAATCAGCTCACGTAGCTGATTTTCCCAGCGCCTCCCGGCGCCAGGAGGCGCCCATGCATCGAGGAATGGGCCCGGCGGCGGGGCCGAAACCAGCTGCATGCCGCAGATTTCGGAATCCCCCCTTTCCCTATGCCCCCCTTTCGTTCGGCCCGAGGCTCCTGAGCCACATCAGCAAGACCCCGAAGGGGGTTTGGATTCCGCGCGGGACCCACGAGGACACCATCCACATTGCCAGGAGCCGTCGGCCCAGGGCCAAACGTGTCCAGGGCGGCCCCCTCGACGCGCAAGAGGCCTCCAGGGAGCGCGGTCTCCGGGGCGCTCGAGCTCAGGTCGGAGATGCAGAAAATTTGCGGCCAACGTACAAGAGGGCTCGGCGATGTAGAGGGTCCGATCTGGCTCCTCCTGCTGCTGCGGCGCGGGCCTGGGGTGCCTCATCGCAGCCTGTTTCGCCGGGGCGCCCGCGCTGTTGTTGCCAAGCTTGAGATGCTGCTCGCTCTCTCGTTGAGGCTGGGAGGACCGGCCACGTGGGCCTGCGCTTTGGAGGGGGCTATCGAGGTGAGCTGGCTGCAGAAAAAGGAGGCAGCCCTCGTGAGGTCTCCTGTGAGCGACTGGCTCCTGGAGCGCCGCTGGGAATGTTGCGAGCCCCTCTCGACCACACGCAGGCCGCCCGAGAAGCCGTGACACCCAGGGGCAGGAAGGGCCACCTGGCCAGCGACTGAGAGCTCCGCAGATTCAGCAGCCTGACTCCTATACGGGGGCGGGTGGGGGAGCTTTGGGGGACGCTCGGGCCGACAGAGGGCCCGAGCCATGGGAGGCACAGAGACATTCTACTACTGTGTGTCCTCCTTGGAGGCGCGCGTGTGACCCGAACAAATAGTAGGCCCGCCTTGTGGCAGATCGCTTCCCGAGCGGCGTGGCCAGAAAGAGCGCCCGCAATGACGCATAGACCATCGGTGCGCGCGTCGCCCCTTTGGGGGCGACGCACATCCAATATACATGAGTATGTTGGGGGGACGCCGAAGCCGTTCCCGCGCGCCGCGTCAGCGAACACACTTCTGGAACGTTCGGGGACCGCGCTCCAGAAACAACTACCGCTAAGTCGGGCCTGTCCCCCTACAGGGGGATTTTAGACGAAAAATTAATAATACCCAAAGAATGCCCCCAAATGGTCAAAACATGCTAAACAAATAGTTCCCGTTGTATGCTTTGATTATGTTTGAATCATGCCCCTGTAGAGGGACAGGCCCGACTGAATACTACTACTATCTGTCCTCCTTGGAGGCGCGCGTCCGACCCGAACAGATAGCAGACCCATCTTCTAGTGGATCGTTTCCCGAGCGGCGCGGCCAGAAAAAACGCCCGCCACGACGCATAGACTATAAGATTTCTCGGTGCGCGCATCGCCCCTGGGGGGGGGGGGGGGGGGGGGGGGGGGGGGCGACGCACGCATAGTATAAGTATGCTGGGGTGATGCCGATCTGGCGCGGCAAGAACCCCACGGGATCGGGACAAACCAACCGCTGAAAGCCTGCGCCGGACCTCGGCGGGAACTTCACTGACGAGGCCGTCGCGGTCGCCCTGCAGGCAAGCTGGGCAAGACCAGGTCGGATGCAGCAACGCGTCCCGTGCTCGACCGCGCAGGTGGCGAGTCAGAACGTCGACAGCGTGCCCTCTTTCACTGGCTCCCGTCTTAGCCCAGATCCCTCCAGGCAGAAAAACGACTTAACGATGGCTTCCTGAAGGGCGGAGACTTTCGAGGGTTCTCGAGCAGCGGAATAGCGCGGGCCCGATCGTAACAAACACGCGCTGCGCGAAAGGGGACATTACAGGCATGCGCCCTTGCCAGGGGCCGAAGTGCTGCGGCGCGCTGGCATCGAGGCACGGGGGCGGATGGCGAGCTGAGAGCGTCGCCCGGGTCGCCAGCGAGTTCAGCGACGGCCCCCCGCCACGACCTGCATGGTCGAACGGCAAGCTCATGGCCGAAGTTAGCCTGCTCACGGACTTCCCACTGATTTTCCCAGGGCCCTCGACTCGGGGGGGGGGGGGCAGACAGGGAGAGCACGAGTGCTCCACCCCTCCGCGGCGGATCTGACGACGGGGCTCGGG